GAAATCACGAACTATGCCGGCGGCAGCGTAGCTACTGGTAGGGTCTCCTTAGTTGGGTTGGCTCTGGTGACGAACCTCGACGAAGATATCAACAACCCCATAGGCTATTTAGGCACATTCCCAGGCACACACGGCCACTGCCAGTGCCACTGCCACTTGCACTAGCACTAGAACTACCACTACCACCTACCACTACCACTACCACTACTACAACTACTACTGCAGCTTCTACTACAACTTCTACTACTACTTCTACTACTACTACTACTACTTCTACTACTACTATTTCTACTACTACTACATCTACTACTACATCTACTACTACATCTACTACTACTTCTACTACTACTTCTACTTCTACTTCTACTACTACTTCTACTACTACTTCTGTTACTACGTTTACTATTGCTTCTACTACTACGTTTACTATTGCTTCTACTATTACTTCTACCATTACTACTATTATTTCTACCACTACTTCTACTACTATTACTTCTACCGCTACTACTTCTACTACTACTTCAACTATTACTTCTATTAATTCTACCACTATTACTGCTACTGCTACTACTGTTGCAGTGTATTATAGACCTTGGGCTGCGACGGTGAACACAAGCGATCGGAGATATTTGGTATTACTCAGACTTCGAAAGAAAGCAAATCTTTGGTGGGAGTTAGCGAGAGCATCTGTGACGAAAACAGCTGAACTGTTTGTTTCACGAGCGACAGGGCCCATGGCACTGGCAGGATACACGAAACATGGTAAAACATAATCGGCGAAGACGAATAGTGGACGAAAGCCGAAGTAAACTGACAGACTCTGAAGAACATTCAAAAATATTGTGGCCAGACAACGTAAATCTACCTCTAGAAAAGTGACTGCAGAGCTCAACACTGGCTTGAGTAATTCTGTTTCCCCAAAAACAGTCCGACGGGAGCTTCACAAAGCTAACATTCACGGAAGGGCTTCAATTCCGAAACGGTTCAAAACGAAAGCCAACGCAAAGCTGCGAAAGAAGTGGTACTTCATTCATGAAACCTGAATACTTGATTACTGGAAGATTGTATGGTCTGGTAAATCAGCGTTTACATTGTTTCCTACAAACGGCCGGATTTATGTATGGAGAACCGCAAAACAAGTCTATGAACTCGTCTTCCTCCTTTCTACAGTCAGGCATGTGGGAGGTTCCGTTATGATGGGGGGGGGGAGTTATTGTGAGTTAGCATTGAGGGGTTCAGGTGTGGTTAACGGTTCATCAAAGTACTATCAAACATCTTCCTTGATCACTACAATCACCAGGCCTCAACATAATTGAACCGTTTCGCGGCGTTTTAGACCAGAGAGTTAGGAGCAGATTTCCAACTCCAACGTTGTTGAAACAATTTTCAGATGTTTCGGTACAAGTATTGGACAACATACAAGAATTGTACAAATCTGTTCCGCGCCGAAAAGCAACTGATCTAAAAGTAAATGGCCCAACACAGTAATAAATAAATATATTGTATATAAGTCACGTGTTCATATTGTTTTGTCCAACTCCTGAATGTCATCGTACCAAATTATTTTGTGAAAAGAAATAAACGAGAAGATAATGTAATCATAACACGACCGTCGGAAGGGCAACTGAAGAGATAAGACCGAGCTCCCCTCTGACCACGTGGCAGAGAGATGGGCGGTCTCCGCGCACGTACGTGCGATTTCTGGGGGCACAGCGTATCTAATCTTCAACACACAAGCTGTTGAATTCCGGGATCACAGTGTGCCTAAACGGATATGAGGAACCAAATACAATTCCTTCGTGGATCGTGGCAACCAGTGGCAACAATAGCAAAAGGCCTATTATTTCACCTGGTGGTCCTTTCAGGGGGCTTCTAAAATCCCTTCTCGCTTCCCCCAAAATACCGCAGCCCCCAATTTGAGAACTTATTTATGATTATGAAAAAAAATGTTTAAAATCAAAACCCTGACATTTATTATTAAAGAAATTAAATTTTCTTCTAATATTCACAACAATTAATTATTAAAATGGGAATATCATCTTGTCTCGTATTTTTTGATGAGTTACCTCTAGTTACATATAAAGAAAGAGGAAAAAGTAAAATACCAAAAGTAAAAAAGCCAAATAGGACCATTAGCATTCTTGTTTTGTCATAGGATGACATCGCAAATTCTCTTAACATGAACAAATGCGTAGGTAACTTTGACATTTGAGGGTGACTATGTACTATTTTAGATAAAAATTAATTGTGAGATGTTTAACATTCTAAATATTACTTTAAAGCCAAGATAACTAATGTGATTTTAAAATTTTCAGCTCCCGGATCCACACTAGAAGGTAGGTAATTTGTGTCATAATTATATAACATTAACAAGCGCGAAAGGAACGACAAACGATAATTAGAGTAATATATTGTATATTTGTAAATCTCCTTAAATGATCGCGGTTTAGTCATCTCTCGCAGGCCACATTTTGATCGAAAATTTATCATTTATAATTTGCCGTTTTAATCACTAAAAGGAAACACGGTAACACTTCATAACCGACTGTCAGAACAACTAAAATTATGATCCACCATAATTTTACAGGAATTATCCATTGCGTGTAGTGTGCAGAAACTTTCAAATTTATTTTAAAATAAATTTGGATTGTGATCTATGATCATGACTACGGTAGGATGTTAATGAAATGTCATTCTTTTTCTTTTCACTTTAGAACAATGACTTTTAGTAAAGACATTAATTTTATGTTATGAGAAAAGGACATTTATGTAACATTCTTTTGAATTTTTGTAGATTTCGACTAATACGTTATTTTTTAAACTTTTTCTGTGATTTTTAAAACGTTTTTCACTGATTTAATCGTTTCTAATATCATTTTATGGTACTTCCTTCAAATAATATTTACGTATTGCTGGAAATGTTCTCCACAGAATTCCTGACTAGCTTATGCGATATCTTTGCTGAGAAATTGTAATGTCAGCCGTTATATGTAAGGTTCCTGTGTCACTTATCAGGGCTAATCAGGGCTCCGTACGACCGATTACGGAATAACCAAAGACAGATTTCCTGGTAAAGAACAGTCCAAACCAAAAGTTTGCAAATTAAGTGAACGAAAGGAACTAGCCTTAATTACATCAGTGTTACATCTATCTCAATTACATCTCAATCAATTACATCTCATTACATCTGAATTACATCCATCAGCATGAGTTGTTCATCTAAACTGCTTTTGATTAATTTTTTATGTCGTTTTTCTCTGGTGTTAGGACATTTTAAAAACATTTTAAAAGTATTTTATTGATTACTTTTGGCGATGTTTGAGGTCATTATAATTCGCCCCCTAGTAATAACATTCAGCATTGCAATCTGTTTAAACAACCTCAATATATACACCTGTTGTCTTTATACAGTGTGTATAAATGTGAAAGTTAAAAACTTCTAGTTTCTAGAGGTGTAGAAAAAGATAACTTTTTGACAATGAACTTGCAGTGGTAAATTTCATACATGTAACATTTGCCCCAGATTCTTAGGCAACTCCATACCCGCAAGTGTTTGGCATATGTCTGAAATGTCCTTGGCCACAGCGCTCCAAACGTTCAACCTGAAGCTAGCTAACCACAAAACCAAATACAGCAGAAAATATCAGAAAAATTTAACCAGAATTAGTCAATTAATTACTATTTAATTACTTCATTTTACCATTATTATAAAACGTAATTATTTTTAAAATTTTGAAATATTTACAAAAACCAAATTTTTGGAAGAAATTTATGGAAAAATTCTTAAAACTACATTTTACCGGCGAACCCCAAAATTACTAACACCATATTGTTACTATCTTTTATATTTATTGATTAATTAGCCCCAGAATTAATAACTGTATGAAATTGTTTATAAAGAAGCGAAAAACTTCACAGAGGCTATATGAAATAACATTAATAATATCTACAAAAAACTTTCACTAAAAGAACTTACGGGCGATATTCAGAAATACTTCACACGTTCTTGCACAAGAAACCCATTGATATAATAAGAGGTTGTTTAAATTATTTACGCCGGCCAGTTGTTTTAAATCAGCCAAGGTTTCGTAAGTACATAACATATCACGATTTTTTTTTTTAATTTTTAAACTTACACTTTACCAGCGAACCACAGAATTACAACAATTATTTTGTTACTACTCCTTTATATTTATTGAATAAATGGCTCCAGAATTAATAACTGTATGCAATTGTTTGTAAAAAAAAGCGCAAAACTTTACACAGGCTATGTGAAGTACCATGAATAAAAACTAAAAAACTCTCACTTAAAGAACTAACCGGCGTAGTTCAGAAATACTTCACAAGTTCTTTCACAAGACATCCATTGATTTAATAACAGGTTCTTTAAATTAATTACGCCTGCCAGTTGTTTTAAAAATCAGCCAACTTTTTGCTCCAACATTGCATTTCACTACCTAATTATTAAAAAAATTCGTAAAATTACTTTCTACCGGCAAACCACAGAGATACAACTAGTATTTTGTTACTACTTTATTTTTATTAAATAAATGGCTCCAAAATTAATAACTGTATTATATTGTTTATAAAGAAGCGCTAACCTTTATACAGGATACATGAAGTACCATCAATAAAAACTAAATAACTCTCACTAAAAGAACTAACCGGCGAAATTCAAAAATACTTCACATGTTTTTGCACAAGACACCCATTAATATAATAACAGGTTGCATAAATTAATTACGCCGGCCAGTTGTATTTAAAATATGCCAACGTTTCGTAAGTACATTGCAGTTCACTAACAAAATTTTAAAAAATTCGTAAAATTACTTTTTACCGGCGAACTACACAATTACATCTGTTAATTTGTTACTACTTCTTTATATTTATGTAATAAATGGCTCCAACATTAATACTGTAGGTAATTGTTTATGAAGAAGCGTAAACCTTTACACTGGCTATATAGGTACCATATATAAGACAAAAAACTCACAGAAAATGATCTAACCCGCGAAATCCAGAAATACTTCACAAGTTCTTGTACAAGACACCCATTGATTTAGTAACAGGTTGTTTAAATGAATTCCACCTGTTAGTTGTTTTTAAAATCAGCCATCGTTTCGCTCCAACATTGCATTCACTCAGAAGTTTGAAAGAAATATCTTAAAACTACATTTTACCGGCGAACTACAGAATTACTAAATCAGTTTTGTTACAAATACTTAATATTTATTGATGAAATGGGTCCAGACTTAATTACTGTTTGCAATTGTTTATAAAGAATGTGAAATGCAAAAATTCATATTCCTTTTCTTGTTTTTTTTTCTTTCAATGAGGTGTTTGCAAGTACTGATCTTTCACATCTACCCCTCCTATGTATATATTTTAATCAAGAATGTACACGGGTTTTTAAATTTCTTCTTTTCTCTTTGTAATGACTGTTTCAAATTCATCCTCCTGTTAGGTGCTTATCATATAAACAGCCTGTTTACTCATCCATTGCAACACTGAAACGGGGCCCGAGTGTTGGGCGATATACTCACTTAACTTCAATTTATTTTTCTGAAATATTTTAGGAATTTTTTTTCTATTCAAACGTAATGTTTCTACACAATCTGTGTTTTTAAACATCGCAGCTAATGATGGGGAGTTGTAGTAATTGGCCCTCAATAAAGTGTGGTTCTTATTTAGCAATGGCTGTATTAAATTTAAGACAATTTGTGTCGTTTTATTAATAGTATGTCTGACAATTACAATGATTTTATATTATACGTAGTACATAGAAGACGCTGTATTGTAAATTAATTATTTCTATAAAAAACATCCACAAAGAAAAAGAAACACTTTGATATCAAAATATTTGTATCCAAAACCACACGCAAAGAAGCTCGCTGTGACACACTTCCAACGTCTTTGCACGGCACCGCCCTGCGAGTGGCGTCTGTAGATTGCGCACCGTAAATGAGAGAAAAGGCATGTAAATGTTCCTTCCGTTCTGAGACAGCTTCGGAAAGGAAAATCTATCACGACCAAGTATGGCATACCGCGTGTAGAGGAGAAAGGAAAATTCCGTTTTCAAACGGCATACCACGGTCAATAGATGAATATAAAAAATATCCTTATTTAAAAGTATACTAACAATATTATCGCCGATTCACTTAAGGGTATATTTGTGAATCTACTCCGTCTTTAAGTAAACACTTCAATATAATAACCACAAAGCTCCTTGGGAGTCACGAGTATTTAATAGCAAAGGAATCTCCAAATCTCTGTGAAACATGTCATATACCTATTACAGTCATCCATATATTAGTTCATTGCCCAAATTTGAATTATTTAAGAAAAAAACAACACAATCTTTCTAACAACATACAAACACTTTTAAATGATATAAGTAACATGTATAATGTGATTCATTTCCTCGTTGAATTCAACATCCATGTGTACCTGTAAACCACTAGAAACAACGTCAAGTTAAATACTAGGTATCTAAAAATCATACCATTATCTTAAGATCTTATTAATGTAATAAATTTGTTAATATTTTTGTGTATCATTTTGTAATATTTGTACCAATATTATGTGTTTTTCATATCGTTTGTAAATAATTATTTGCTTCAAATATTGTTAATATTTTGTAAAAACAATGAGGTCGCTCATGGCCATGTAGTTTATGCGACCATAATAAATAAAGCCAAAAAAAGCTTATTTGGATTAAAACGCTCCCTTAACTCTCCTGGTACTAAGGAAACAGCAATACAAAACAATTTATCATAAAACAAGTAGCGTATGGTGGATTTCGATAACTTCCAGGGTTTTAGTGATGTGGTAAAAATACTATAAATGTACTTACTTACAAATTGTGAAGTAATGATGCTGCAGCCGTTGTTACTAACCTATATTTGTACAAGTGGAAAGGTAGGAAGTTTTGACATTAACAGAAAAGCTAGTCTTTTCAGAAGAAGTGTAGTTTTGCCAATGAATATTCTACCTGCAGCCACTTCTTTCCCGTGTAATCCCTCAGCAATACCAGCCGGACACGAAGCGACCCCTTCTCCACTGGGGGAATGCACTCACAAGGGGTTGAATTACTGTACACGGAGAAAACTTGATTGTTCTGAAAAGAGGACATGTCCGGGGAAACATAAAATCAGAGCCACCTAATCGTTCCGTCGTTTACTGGATTTTACATGAGAAATTTTCAAATTCTTTACCTGCAAAACTGTCAGTAGTTTGCATTTTCATCTTTCGGGTCTCCCTGAGATTTTACAAATACTCTTTGATTACTTTAAATTCACCGAGAAGTGTGTGTAAAATTAGTTTATGGAAGGGAAATGGCTACGTTATTGCACTTGAAATGAAGATAAGGATGTTCGTAATACTCATGTTACTTCAGAACATGCTAATGTGTTGCTGTCGAATTTTTGTGTTTTGTTTCTTCGTTGGTTAATAATGTCTGAGTTCCGAAGTTTATTACACGTTTTAATTTACATACGGTTTCAAAAATGCAAGGAACATTTTGGTATATACAAGTTGATGAACGTCTGAAAAAACTGGAAGATGAACAACTGAAAAATGTTCAATAATTTGATGGCATGCTAAAAGAAAAAAAAATTATAAATACCCCAACGTATACAGAAATAATGTTCACAATAGATAACTTATTCATTACTACAATGTGCCGCAATATTACAGTAATTAACTTAAACATATCTGAAAAAATTCAAGTGTAATAATGACCTCTAATATAAAATTACTGCTTCTCAACGACCAGTTCTGTAAGAATTTGTGACGTATTTCTGAATTTCGACGTTAAGTTCTTTTACTGAGAGTTTTTTGTCTTATATATGGAAAGTATATAGCCTGTGTAAAGGTTTGCGCTTCTTTATAAACAATTGCATACAGTTATTATTTCTGGAGCCATTTTTGAGTAAATATAAAAGAGTAGTGAAAAAATAATTGTTGCAATTCTGTGGTTCGCCGGTAAAGTGAAATTTTAAGAATTTAAAAATTTTTTGCGTTAATGTTATGTACTTACGAAATCTTCGCTGATTTGAAAAACAACAGGCCGGCGTAATTAATTTAAACAACCTGTTATTAAATCAATGGGTGTCATGTGCAAGAACGAGTGAAGTATTTATGGATTTCGCCGGTTAGTTCCTTTACTGAGAGTTTTTTGTCTTTTATATGGTACCTATATAGCCAGTGTAGAGGTTCGCGCTTCTTTATAAACAGCTGACTACAGTTATTAATTTTGGAGTCATTTTTTCAGTAAATATAACGGAGTAGTAAAAAAATAGTTGTAATTTTGTGGTTCGCCGGTAAAAAGTAATTTTACGAATTTTTTAAAATTTTGTTAGTGAACTGCAGTGTACTTACGAAACGTTGGCTGATTTTAAAAGCAACTGTCCGGCGTAATTAATTTAAACAATCTGTTATTAAATCAATGGGTGTCTTGTGCAAGAACTTGTGAAGTATTTCTGAATTTCATTGGTTAGTTCTTTTAGTGAGAGTTTTTTAGTTTTTATTCATGGTACTTCACATAGCCTGTGTAAAGTTTGGCGCTTTTTTTACAAACAATTGCATACAGTTATTAATTCTGGAGCTAATTAATCAATAAATATAAAGAGATAATAACAATATGGTGTTAGTAATTTTGGGGTTCGCCGGTGAAATGTAGTTTTAAAAATTTTTCCATAAATGTCTTCCATAAATTTTGTTTTTGTAGATATTTTAATTTTTTTAAACAATTAAGTTTTATAATAATGCTAAAATGGATTAATTAAAAAGTAATTAATTTATTTATTCTTTTTAAATTTTTCTGATATATTTTGTGCTGTATTTGGTTTTGTGGCTAGCTAGCTTTAGGTTGAAGGTAGCTGAGCCTCGATGTTTTAAAAAATGGCTGGCGTAATGAATTTAAAATCATGTTAATTAATGAGTAATTAATTAGTATTAAGCGATGGCATGTAGTTTTTTGTGGTCTTCTATAGGTGGCTAGCCATCCTCAGAGAGGTGTCCTAACGTGTGCTGCCGAACTCCTCTAAAAAAGAGAATTCATACCAATAAGAGGAAAATGGCCCATGTATAATTTTTGTACACGATATACACCACCACATAATAGAAAAAAGTGTTAGTTCTCTGTAGTCCCTGGACATTTGTAACATTTATTCTGGGATATAAAAAATATAAAAAAAGATAGTACAATAGAATCTTGTAAGAGAATCCTTCTCATAAGACAATATCGGCTCTCTTTAGTCCCTATGTATAAATAATGGTCATTTTTTTCTCCACATGTAAGTGGCCCACTTATTCTTTTCTCGTCAATAGTAAACAGAAAATTGATTCCAGAAGCTTTTTTTATCTTATATATAGGAAGTTGGTATGTAATTTTGCAAAAATAGATGTGGAATTTTTGAAGGAAAAACACTTTTGGTAGCTCCTTATATCTTTTCTTCAAATCGTCGCTCAGTCCGTCTGTCCTTCTGTGAGCGACACTAGCGTCTAAAAAGTACATAGAATGTTTACAAAAAATCGTGTTTTCTATCGATGTGATTGATGTCACCAGAGCAGTATCCTTACAAATGGGCGATGTGCCACGCGCGATCTTTCCTTCGTCGTTCGTGTATTATCATCTCCCTTTTCGGGTAGAGTGACGGTCGAGCGGGGAGGGGCGAGAGACGGTCGGAAAGACGGACATTTTTAATACAAATGTCTTCACTACCAGGATCGTGAACTTATCGACGTCGAATTTTTGGAGCATTACAAAATGTTTACTAGATTACGTTTATGAAAAGTAAAACCTGAGTAAACCTATGTCCATAACCCTTGCAGCATTGTTTTAACTTTTTAGATATTTACGAAACTTCCAAAAGTAGATTATTAATGTGTGCTTGCCCATGCGTACTTCTGGTACATGCGTAATATTAATGGAATATATACGTATTCAAAACTACAATTAAGACAAAATTGTGTGAAATTTAAGTTATAGTCCAACAAATCAACATATTAATTATTATTTCTTTTTAAATTAATTTGTAAGGTATACTAAAGACCAGTTGGAAACCAGCTGTATATTGAAATAATAATTTGATGGGCGTTTCTAAAGTGCGCGTTGTTCTATTGTTATCTGATAGTTGTCATTTTGTATTGTTCGTGTTTCTGATTATTTAGTGTCATCAACTAATTATACTGCTCGTTATTGGTAGGATATTACATGCATTTAAAAGCCCCTGTATTTCATTTTTCAACTTTTTCTATTGTGTTTGCAGGACGTTCAATTTCCTTACACTCATTGCAGATCCAAGTGTCAACGAACTCTCTGCTCCGATCATCTGAGGTAGATATATTTTATGTTCTTTTGTTTTTTAATTGACTAGTTTCCTGGTATCTAACAAGCAAAATTTTTCTCAAGGAAAAATGGGAACTAATTAAAATGAAGTAAGTGAAATTTGATATGGGTGATTGTTGCATTTGAAATATATTTGTTGGCTGTAGTAGGTGTAATTTTTTTTTTCACAATAAGAATTAAGCGTTGTTTCACCGATCTGCACATTAACTTCACTTGCTTAAACACATCCTCTCCCGGAGTTCAGATCTCCCCGTGTTTTATAATCAACTGTTCTTGTAGTGTTTGTGTAGTACTGTAATGTTTTATAAAATAATGTAGGTCTTGTTTTAAACACACATTAATTTAATGTATTTTTTCAGTGTTGATTACTAATCTGAAGAAAGGAACACACAAGTGGAGCAGTATAGTTTTATTTAGGTATGTTTAAAACTGTTGCGAAGTACTGTATTCGTAGTTTATACATTGTATTTAGTTATTCAGAATAAAATTATTAGTTAGCGTAAAATTATATTACATTTTTTAAAAAGAGAATAAGTTATGGTAATATTTTACAGCTTACGTAAAATTAAGAAATTGCATAAATTCCGTGATGGTAGCAGATATCTTGTGGTAATTCATGTGATAAAGGACTTTAATGTGATAAAGGTTTACTTTATTGTGGACGATTGTTTCCTCTATCACATTGAGAAGTTGAATAAATTGCTATTTTTATTCACTGCCTCTTTATATGATCAGAAGATTTATGAAGAGTAATATACACTTTAGAAAGAACTTTCAATCCCAAGAATATTATTCAGAATTAGTTTCATTCATATTCTTTAAGAAATGTGTTGAATCTGATTTTTAGAATTAGAAAAACAAGTTATTGCCCAGGAAACTTATACAATTAAATCAAAAAAGTATGCATTTCAAAATCAATTAGTGTTAATTTAAACGTCGTTGAAATTTCGGTTTCCAACCAGCCTAAGCCAATGCCTCCTATAATCGAACTCCACCTCCTGCGTGAGTTTAAGGCTGCGTAAAAATGTGTTTGAGTGTTAATATGCGAACATCAATTTATAAAGAAAGGGGCGATAGCATAGATTGATCACGTAAGTTGAAGGATGTTCCATATTCTAGCTATATGCAAGATCCATAAAGAAAAGATGTTCAACCTTTGCTCGTTACAATGGTATAGATCGTACAGAATATGCCATTTTACAGCAACATTCTGCAAATTCCAAGTGTTATAACAGATGAACATGCTAGTATATGTAGATATGATAATTGGTAATAGATGAAAAATGAAATGCCTTATGCTGTAAATATATGCCGATGATCATCACATATTATATCAAATGTACGAAATTCATTAATTGATCCCATTGAATCATACCTTTTGCTTTTAAACAGATATATTTTGTATAAATGTCAAGGAATATGCGCAAAAACAAAACGAACAACTTAAAGAATTAACATTTAATTGTAATACAGTTTTGCTGTCTCCTGTAGAATCTGGCTAAATGTATCTGGTCCCGTTTGGAATGAAGCTCTTCAATTTCTTTCGCCCGGTAAGAAGTATATAAAGCTTCAGTTTCCATCTTCTGTGAAGCATTGTTGAGAAAATGTTTAAGTATTGTCGTAGATAGAGGAAAGTATCCAAACCCGGACCCCATTTAGGTTTCGAACATCTTTAAATCCAATTTTCCATACAATTAAAACAAAATATTTGCAATGCATACCTCTCTTATTATACAAATGTTATATTCTACATTAAATTATTGGTCAAGTACTATAAGAATAACATATTTGGTTCGAAAAAATTACACTTTATGGATTTATAAAAAAGGTTTCCTAATGTGAGCCCCCTCAAATGTTTTGAGAAATGGGAAAAACTAAATAAAACTGCAAATAGATTGAACTCACGTTAAATTTTACAAAAATACAAGTTTAACTGCTTGTATATACGAAATTGTCTTATATATCTTGCACATAGACTATATATTCAAGTGCGACAAAAGTCACAAATGTAAGCAACGTTTTCCGCCACCACTCTTTCTACATGAGCCCAGAGCGATCACATTAGCCACATCATCCATAGTTGTCCTACAGCTCTCTAAAGATGTACACTGAAAAACATGCACTCTGCATCTTCTTCACTTGAAAGTGAAGATATTCCTGTTAGAACATCCAATTCGGAAGAGCCAAAGGACGTGTGTTCGATTCTTCGCGGAAGGCCTTCCTTTTGCTTTTTGTTTAACTTCAGAATTATCTAAAAATCTCTCTCTTTTCGACTTCTTTGGAATTAAATTCTGAAATTGTCTCTTGATGTCTTCCTCTTTCCTGCCCTTTCCAACTGGTAGGCTTCAGAGTACGCTTTTTCTTTTACTAGACTCCTTAGGTATATGGAGTGCCAAATACCTTATTGTTTTTACTTTACAAGACGAAGAATTAGGAACATTTGGGGGGCTCGGATTACGCACCAGCGTGTTTTTATTCCAAAAGTCAATAGCATTTTTACAAGGCAAGTAAAGTAAATTACATTATCATACATCAATAGCTTGTAATGTCACCTTCAAAATAAAGTAATGTTTAGAAGACTTACTGATGAAGTAGCGAAATCAGGCAACTGAGAATAAGCACTTGAAAAAAACTTGGCTTTTCACTGTTCGTAATAATGGCCGACAGTCCACCAACAAGTAAAAATGACGACACTATCGTTTGACTGAGCCTTGGATTTGCAAAGATCGACTATTTTAGTACGTTTTCAATAAGTAATATCACTCTACAGAGCTGTAACTCAAGGGGCTGGCATTAGTAACCAGTCACGGTTTTGCGTACTTTCCTCTATAGTATACATTTTCAGCAGAAAAAAATCGTTGCAAATATTGGATTCTGTATTATGATAGATGTATTTTGTTAAATTATGCATACAAGTTGGTTACATATTGAAAATATGTGTCGAAGGAAAGTATTATGCATTTGAAAAACAATATGATAAGGTAATGAATTTCTGTGAATGTAGTAGTTTCGTAACTAATACATTTAATTATTTGAAATATTTACAATATGATCTGTTTTATACTTTAATTAATCTACTCCGATAGTCAATTCAAAAACTGCTTAATTTAATTTGTAGGTGACTAATTGTAAGTATGCAACATGGTCCCAACGAAACGTAGGTTTTCTTGTACGAAATTCTTCATTTTTCTCCAAATTTGCATTATAATGGCACTCGCAATTTGACCATGCTTATCTTTATATTTGCTTTCTATCAATATATTATACAAGTAAATAAATATTTTGTCATTATCAGTTTTTTATTTATAAATTTATTTAATTGTTTGTTGAAGTACAATGTTCTGTTTACAGTAAAAACTTTGCAATTTTTTGATGACTTAATCTAATTAACTTAATCTAGGTAAAAATTGTACTTAATCTTAATCTAGGGAGAGGAAACAAAAAGCACCTCAGGAGAATTATTCTACATTTGCAAATATCTGGAGGAAAGAATGAAGCGGGAATCTGTTCTTAATTTGGTTTTGTATCTGGGATCTTTGGCCGAGTCTGTAGTGAGTTTGATGCCTTTATGAAGGATAGTTTGTATAAAAGTTTGTTAGATAGGAATGCTATTTGGTGAGTTATTTCAAATTATGTTTAGATCTTATGAGCTGTTTATTACTAAATGAACCTGGTGGATCTTGTTATTGGATCTTAATATTTGTTTTGAATGACTTGGGAATTTGTTGAGATTGGTTTTGGCGGCATTGGTCTAGATCGGGCATGCGTATAATAGTATTGGGCGAATGAGTGATTTGTATAGTGTTAGTGCATTTTGACAGTGAGCAGGTGGTTGTATGAGTTTAGTAAAAGGTCTTAATTGGATGAGTTTGAATTTTTGGCTGTTGTGCTTTATCTCAATGTGTTGTTCCAATTAGTTTAGTATCTAATTCAATCAATATATTTTATTGTTTTCCGTGATTGGGGTCCATTTATAGGATTATTATTTATAAGTAGGCGGGTGGATAATGCAAAGGTTTTTGGAGAGAAGACTTTTGCTGCTGATTTTGATGGATTTAATTTAATTTTCCAGTTATTTGCCCATTTGTTATTAGATTTTAGATGCCTGTTGGAGCTGGAATGGTGAGTTTGTAAATGAATTGGCGGAGCACATATAAAGCAGTGTCGTCGGCAAACTGGGCCGTATTATTGATGGGAAGTAGGAATGTCTGCAGTTTGTAACGATTAAAAGAGAGTTGGAGATAGTGGTGAACCTTGGGGGAGCCCAGCGGCAATTTGTTTGGGTTAGAACAATGACCATTTTATTGTTATGAGAAAGTTTGTGATGACTTGAAATTAATAGTTTGGTGTAGCGATTTTGACTATATTTGAGTATAGGGCTGGATGCCCTATCTAATCAAAGCTTGTGACCCATCTTAGAATACAGTGGTGGGTAGTGAAATCTTTTGGAAGCAGAAGTGGATGTGCTCAGTTAGTCTCGAATAGCTTGGTGCGTCGTTGAGTGTTGATATGAAACAGAATTGATGAGTTGGAATTGAGTTAGTTTTTATTTATATGTTTGTTTAGTCTGGTGAGATTCATTTTTTCTAAATTGGGGACATGATGGGGTAAAAAGACTGGCTTGGTCTATAAATTTTTGCACGTGAATGGGATTTTTATTTGGTTTTGCCATTGGATGTATTATTGAATGTTTCCAATGAATTTGGGGCTAATAACTATTCTTAAGTATGGAGTTGTATATATTGTTTAAAATGCGATTGGCAATTGTTTGGTAAATCTTTTGAGGAATGATAGAATTATTCGATCGTGACTGGGATTTTTTATTTGGCATTTTTTTATTATTTGTTAACTTCATAGGAGAGATGAATTTATTTTGGTGAGGAGTTGTTATAAGGAGCGTTTGGAATGTTAATATTTCATCATGGCTTGGAATTTTTATGGAGTCATTAGGAGTGAATGTGCTAGCAAAATGCGCTGCTAGAATCTGCGGGTTTTCTCCATAGTCGAGTATTTTTTCCAGTTTCAGTTGACAGTGGGGGAATGCTGTTTTTTTTGCCTTAGAACTTTCTTTGTGAATTGCCAAAGAGAATTGGGTTTTAGTATTTAGTCCGCTCAATAAATTTATTATAAATTTTTCTTGGTTGTATTTACTATTGCTTTTTGGCAGATATTTGTTAGGTGAATTTAATTTCTTTTTTTCAGTTCTGTGGATTTTTAGAGTGTTGCAAAGCCTTCTGGTTTTATTTTTAACTTTTATTAGTTCAGTAATAGCTGGGAGGAAGTGGTCCCCCCCCCCCCCCCCCCCACCCCTTTTAAGTTTTCATCTGGTGTCTAATGTTGCATATGAGAGTCTTGATGGTTTTGATTATTATAATTATTAATTTAGTAATGCTTGATTAATTTCAATGGGACAATTGAGGATTTGAAATTTGGTTATTGATTTTTCAATAGAATTTTTTTAAATATAATTCCAGTTTTTTATATTGTTAGTATTTAGCGTGGGAGGGGGAGGGGGGGATGGAGAATTTTGTTTATTTAGTTGTTAATAACAACAGGGACATATGGTCTGAGTCTAATTCATGATGAACTGTGGAGTAAAATGGTCTTTCAAGTTTGTTTAATTGCTATATCTAATTATCTGTGTTTTTATTGGGATCATATCGGGAAATAGGGTTGGTTTCTGGGTGGGGCGTAAGTATTTTAAGCTGCATTGTGTTTTTGTATTCTGTTTAAGTATTCACGGCAGGGTTTTGTGGTCCGACATCCGCGGAAAGCAGAATGCTAAATAGATATTAAGATCTTCCTACTATGATGAAAGGGTTGGTCAAATTGTAGTAATTTATTGATAAAAGGTTAGTTTTAATTTATGTTTGGGTGGTTTATACGTGCGTGACTACAGTTAGTGGTTTGATTTATTGTTATATGTTATATTTATCCCGATTTTTTCAATACTGGAGTGAGTGGCAAGGTTATTTGGTGGTGGTTGAAATCTATCCTTAATCAAAATTAAAACGCCGCCTCCTAATTTTCGTTTTGTCGTCTCTGATGATTTTGGAATCCTGGTATGGTGAATGTTTTGGCTTGTGGGCTCAAATGCGTCTCTGAGATCCATGCGACTGTCTATCTTTTTTGCCTGTAAGAAATGTTCTAATTCGGTTTTTTTTTGTTTGCGATGCAATTTTGCATTCCAATTGAGAAATGGTTAATGCTTTATGGTGTGAATGTCCAATAACTGTGATAATTGTGGAGGTGAATAGGAGCTCTGAATACTTTGTATTATTTGTTGGAATTACGGTTGATAGAAGGTTTACTATGTGATTGGTGATAAATTTGTGATGTTGGTAATGGAAGGACTTATTGTTGTCGTATTGGGTTAAAGTGATTGTTTGTTTGCTAATTGTGGATATTGTGGATAAACTTATTTGCATTCATTTGGGATTGATAGTGATTTATTAATTCTTTGAGTGAAATTAGGAATATTGTTAGTTTTGTAGGCAAGAATGGGAAGTTCGTTGAGTCATGATTGGGAGGTGGCGTGCGTGGTTGTCCGGATCTGGGAGCTGGAATTTACATTTTGGCTGTTGTTTTTTCACTATGTTCTATAATATGGACATTCATTAGACCTGAGGTCAGCCTGTGCTTCCCATGCATTCTTAAGCAAGTAGGAGTTGATTTCTTTGATGGACGTTTTGCTGAAAGGTGGTTTTTTTGCACAGAACACACACCGAAACTTTTAGTAAATTTTAGTAACTCTTAACACGTAGTTACGGGTTTATTTCTACTGTGTCGCATAGTCTAGGCAACGGTAGCACTGCAATGGACCTAAGTCTTTTCTTTCTTCTTTCGACTTTACTACGGAGTTGAAATGTATTTTTTTTAATTCCAAAAACACTTTCCTGATTTTTTTCGGTTTCGTTGAAATTCTACAGCGACTACTGGGTCGGCACATTGTTCTTTTTAGTCTCGTGACCTTTGTAACTGATGGAAATTGAGATGCGATGTCTTCAAACAAATTTCGTTTTTCCGGAATTGTGGGATGAATGTTCTTTATCAACAATTGACATATTTCTTTAGCCACTGGGATCTTGAGTACGTATGGAATTGTTTATTAGAATTTATAAAGTATTTAAACTGCAGCTCTGAAGTCGGATTATACTGGTGAATTGGTATTTTAATTTTATTGTTCTTGAGTTGAGTGGTAAAGTTTTCTGTAAACTTAGATTTTATTTCCTTTATAAATTCGGTATGATTTGCTAATTCCTGTTAAGTTTTAGAGTTAGGGGGGATTTTTTTTTTATTCTATTGGTACTTCTGGTAACTCTTTCATTTCACAACAAAATTATTTGACCACATCTACATTATAGTTTTTTGCAAGTTGTTATCGGGGTTCAGTTCTGAGGAAAGCTGTCGAGGTCATGCGAGAGGTAGAGGTAGAGGTAGAGGGAAGGGGTTAGAGAAGTGTAACAGGACAGGGTTTAGACGGGTAGAGGTAAGGTAGAGGTAGAGGTAGAGGTAGAGGTAGAGGTAGAGGTTAGACGCGTAGAGGTAGAGGTAGAGGTTATAGAGGTAGAGGTAAGGTAGAGGTAGAGTACGAGGTAGAGGTAGAGGTTAGAGGTAGGAGGGATAGAGGTAGAGGTAGAGGTAGAGGTACGAGAGGTAGAGGGTAGAGGTAGGGAGGTAGAGGTAGAGGTAGGTAGAGCAGTGAAGAGGAAGAGGAAGAGGAAAGGAGAGGAGAGTAGAAAAGAGGTAGAGAGGGTAGAGGTAGAGGTAGAAGGTAGAGGTAAAGTGAGGTGATAGAGTAGAGGTAGAGGTAGAGGTAAGAGTAGAGGTAGAGGTGAGGTAGAGGAGAGGTAGAGAGTGTAGTAGGAGGGTGTGAGTAGGTAGAGGTAGAGATGAGTAAATGTAGAGTAGAAAGTTGGAAGTGAGTGTGCGGTAGAGTAGAGGTAGAGGTAAGAGTAGAGTAGGTAGAGGTAGATGAGGTAGAGTACGGTTGAGTAGTACGGTAGAAAGGTAGAGGTAGCGAGGGTAGAGGGTAGAGGTAAGTAGGGTAGAGTAGAGAGAGGTAGAGGTAGAGGTAGAGGTAGAGGTAGAGGTAGAGGTAAGAGGTAGAGGTAGAGGTAAGAGGTAGAGGTAGAGGTAGGTAGAGGTGGTAGAGGTAGAGGTAGGTAGAGGTAGAGGTAGAGGTAGAGGTAGAGGTAAGGTAGGTAGAGGTGAGGGAGGTAGTAGAGGTAGAGGTAGAGGTAGAGGTAGAGTGGTAGAGGTAGA